ATTCTTGAAATACCACAACATTGGACCCCAGACAGACTTTTTCTGAGGTCTATGAAAACTGGACAAGAAATTCTTTCTAATTGTCAACATCCAAAAACGTGCCTAGGTCTGACAGATTTAAGTTGTTTTCACAACTATTTAGTATTTCAATTATACCTCTTCAAAAAGCAATTATGGTATTTATTGTCTTTTAAGAGCAAACACTTAAAGATGCAAAAATTTAAGAGAGCGTCTCAAGTATGAATACATGCTTAGATGTTGGCAAGTTTTTAGCCTTCTGTCTCTTCTCAAGTTTTTGTTCTTTAAATTTTTTTTCTCCTTTCCTGTCCTCAAAGGTCCCCAAAAGAACAAATAGCTTAATAACTGGTACTTCAGGAGGTGATCTTGACAGTTTTTCTTACCATCATTGCAAAGTAACACTGAGAGAAAAAGAATCTTTCTGTAGAGTGGGATGTCATTAATATAGGGTTTTGTCTGAACTGAAATGCTGATTTTTGTTACATTTGCAATGAAACAGAAGTTCAGGGCTTATGGTAGCGTGTATCCATTGAAGTATAGTGTTGAGCTTTTTGGCTTGCAGCTGATCTACAATGTAGACATAAAGAAATAATTTCTTTTGGCATTCAATTTTGGAATTCTCCATGACATCTTTCTGTAGTTAGCCAATCCATAATGTTTCTGTTTGAGCTCTTGGTTTTTCAATGTATGCTGTTTCTCTTTGAAAAAAATAGATCTTTAAGAAAATAATTCTGTCCTTTGGGCATTTACTTGCCTGTAAGATTTAGTTGAAGGGCTGTAACTAAAGCAGCTTAACTGGAATTTTCTGTTGTAGAAGCAACAACAGTAGATACAAGCTTCAGTCATTATATTAACCTATGCTATCATTAAGCTGGATTTGAAATATGAACAGCTAAGCTTGTACTGAGTCTTGACTTGAGTCTTCAATGTCACACTACAAGTAACCTTCCTGGTGGATCCTGGCCCTATGCGAATTAGTGGGTGCTTTACGCTGTGTTCCACAGAGTCAGAATTTTGCTGTTTGAATAAAATATCAAAATCTGTAATGCAAATTTGAAGACCTCACAAGTGTTAAATTTTATTGAAATCAGTGATAACTGAATGTAGTGAACATATGGGGGAATATGAGCCTTGACTTCAACAAACCAGAAAAAGTTGTCAAGGTGTAAAAACCTGAGCTTTTCAGTGTAATTATTTCTTTTTAATCCAAAATGTGTATGAAAGTTTTCCATATTTGCAATATTTATTTTCTGAAAGTCAGTTTCTTTGAGACGTCATACTTATTTAAAAAAAGATGAAGTGAACATTATGAGTTGAAATTTTTTTCAGTTGGTCTCAGTTATCTTATACAGTTTCAGTTCTTCCATTCTAGATGAATATATTAGGCTACAAGAGACTAATACAATTGCAAGAACTTTGGAATAGGAAATCTGCCTTTTTAATAGAAAATACCCTAGAACATTTTTTTCTGAATGGATCTGTTGTATTTCTGTATGTAGTGAAATCTTAAAAGGGTTTTTATTAGAAATTGAAATACCTGACTCTCTCAAATATTTTAAAAAGAATGCCAACCTTTTCTTTGCAAATGTCAAACTTTCATAATTGAATTTTGCAAGCTTCATAATACTGTTTATGGTGTGACATTGTATACACAGTTTTTATAAACATGAAACAGTTTTGTCAACAACTGATGACAGTAGAATGATAATTAGATCTATTTATGAAATTCATTATACAGATAAAGAAAATTGGATGTTTTCCTCTGTGCTAATTGACATGTAGAACAACTGTGTACTCTGCCTCACGGCATTTTGCTGCTTTAAAAAATAAATTACAATACAGAAATAATAATGTAACTGTGTTTCTTGTATTAATTATAGGTCCAAAGACTGTATTTAGAAGTTGAATGTATATGATAATTTGATTTATTTTGCGATTAGTTGAGGTGGTGTCTGTATAACAAAGGAATCTAGTCCTCAAGGCAGATGGAAAAATAGGATAGTTTAGCCATTAATGAGCTTTGTGAGAGAGAGATAATTTTGATAAGTCTCTAGTCATGTGGTTGTGATAATTTTTAGTGTAAATTTTCAGTGTAGTTTAACTCTGGAAGGCTGTTGTGGTTCATAGGTCAGAAGCCTGTACTAGTAGTACACAGTAAAATTTGACATATGCTGATTTCTGGTAAGCTGAAAGCTGATAGGGGATGTATTTTAAAGATATGCATGGACAAGTTGTATTTTTTAAGCTCTTAAACTAGATGTATGGAGATAATTTTGGATTATGTTATCTAGAGCATGCTTGAGTAGGAGTGGCCAAACATATGATAAACCCAAGAAATAATGCAGCATTTCTCCCCCTGCTACTTCTTTGTCTCCCTCTTCCTGTTTCCCTGGCCAGTGTATCTCCCAAGGGCAAGCAAAACATGGTGCTTCCAGCTCTGTCTTCCAGCTGCTTTGTCCTCTCCTCTTTCATCCAGTTTCTATACTGTAACTACTACTTCACCTCTTCCCCTCCAAACTCTTCAGTCACATTTTGTTACTTCCCCATGTTCACGTGCCTCTCATTCTCCAGGAAGACCCTATAGTGTGTATGTCTTGGTCTGCAGACGACCAGGTTGACACTGTAGCCTACTGTATTTAGAAACTGAGTGTATACAATACTTTCATTTATTCTTAAATTGGTTGAGTGTTCTGCTGATAAATAATGCATATAGAGAAGGAATTTAGTCCTCAAGGCAGATGTGAAAATGGGATTGTATACCATGACATTATGTTGGTACACTGCTGTCAGATTTGCACATGTTTTGTGGTGTCTAACTTCTGGGATATTATTCTGGGCATGATGTGTTGAATTATTTTTTTTCTCCAAATGATCTATATTTAATATAGAAATAAAAAGCGCAATGTTTTTATGTTTTAGTGAAATAAAAAAATACAGTCTTCCCATGAAACATGAGTTTTAATTGTTTGCTGAAACAAAACCTGTTATCTCTGGCAAAACTTTTAGACAGTTGAGATTGTTGTCTCTGCAAAACAGTTTTACAGAAATTTTGAAAGTGGATTGTTTTATTAATACCTAAATGAAAAACACTTGTCTGGTTACAACTCTGAGGGTGTGTTTTGTCTTTGTTGTGAAGAGTAGCTGTGTTCATTTAGCTAAACCTTAGTGTAAGAAATCTGTGCCTTCCACATACAAAATTAGGTCAGCAGTTAGATTGTTTTCAATTAAATGACAGATTATTACATCCTTTTAAAGAATTTTTATTACTCTGTGTTAGCTGGCAGCAACAAGGTGACATTGGTTCCCCTATTTGCTTCCTTGAGACAGCATCTTCATCATCATCTTTATCACCTCATGTATCAGGACCCAACTGATATTCCTGGGGCACTTCATTGAGTGCCTGCTTCTTCCTGTGAAAATTAATCATAATATTTCAGCTAAAACTTTCTCAAGTTCCTTTAAAGTTCCAAAGATAAACACCATCCAGTCCTCATAATTTCTTTGTATTTCATTTATTCTCTAACCTCTTCTTCTGACACCTCAGAAGAGAAAGACTCATCGACTCTTTCAGAAAGAGACATTTCAGCCTGGAAATCTCTGAAGGTCTTTCATAGTGAACACATGAAAGAAAAAAATAATTTTTTTCCCTACCAGCTCCTTTTATATAGTGACTGTCCTTTACGTTTTCTGACAAGCTTGCTGACTCCACAAAGTTATGAAAGATAATTTCTTACTGTTTTACAAGTTCTTCCATCAACTTTTTTTGACATGCCTTAATACATGTTTCTGTATTTTAATTTATTTGAGTTCACAGTCCTTTGTGTGTTCCTTATATGATAGAATTTCAGCTTTTCAAGGTCTGCTCTCAAGCTTCTGTTCTGCCACTTAGCTATGAATGCTTCTTTTTTCTTTTTTCTCAGCTACTTTGTGATAGGTGGTAGAAAAGTTAAAATACAATCTTTTTTATTAGTTAAATTATTTTTAGGTTAATAAGACATATAGTGGTCTGAATGAGATTGGTTTAATTAGCATATGTGTATCTGTGTAGGTAATTGTGAATCTGCAGTTGATAATTGCAGATACATGATTGATTTAAAATGCCTTTAGTTCCTGAAAACTAACGAGGCAATTCATAAATATCAAGAAGATAACAAGCATATGAGTAAAAGCTTATGTGTCTCAGTAAGAAATCATGTTGAAATAATCTCATATCCTTTTATGGCAAGGGCAATGCATGATCAAGCTGAAAATACTCCAGTAAAGATGCAAAACTGTTTGCATAAAGCTGCTTGGAGGATTGTTGTTAATGAGGTCCTGTCAGAATAATGTATCCTATGGGAAATTGCAGGATACATGTTGAGATTAGGTTTGGGTGGTCTTTCAGTGTTTCATAACTTTGATTCAGAGTTTGTTTGTTAAATTCCCAGACATAACTATACCTTAAAGGGATTGAAAGTGCACCGAAGGGCACCTGTAGAGTTAAAAATAATTTGATAAACTGAGAGATGAGTCTCAAAAAAAATAGTGTAACTTGGCAGGATCAGATGCCAAAGCAAAAGTAATCAGTGATGTCATGTTTGTATGGTATTCAAAAAAGATCTTTTTTTTTTTTTTTTTTTGTTTTGAGGCAAATAAAAGATTAGCTTTTTCATAGTCACATGTATGAATTTTGTTCTTTATTCTTCATAGTTATGTTATTTTTATACCTGTGTATATAGTGGTGTTCATATACTTTTAGATAAAGTATTCTCACATTTCTGCTCAAAGAAAATACAGCAGGGTTTTTTAATTAGAAAACCAAGACATTTGGTCTTACTAATGACCTAAACCAGTCAGTTTTTACCTTCTTCAGAGAAATACCTTGAAAAGACCACAGTAGAAAAAGGTGCAAACTTACCATAAATCTACGAGATTTATGTCATCTGCAAGTTTGTATACTTTTAAATCACCATGTGCATTTGTCTTTTTTTGTTTTCTCTTAGGAAAGGAGACTGAGAAAGCCAAAGATCGATGTGATAAAGCCACTATGAAGCTTCATATGTTGCATAATCAGTATGTCTTGGCACTGAAAGGAGCACAGTTACATCAGCACCAGTATTATGATACTACACTTCCTCTGTTACTTGATTCACTACAGAAGATGCAAGAAGAAATGATTAAAGCCCTGTAAGACGTATTCTTACATATTTTTAACCTGCGGAATTTTATATGTGTAGTATTCTAATTAATATGTAGGATTATGTGAAAATAATAAACTGTGATTAATTAATTGTATATCAAGGGATAAAGAAGAAAGATGTTTTAATCTTTCAATTGACAATAAGTGTGCATAGAAAAGTCTATCCAAATAATGCAGACAGTAGTTTTGAGTGGTTACATTCTAGCAAGACACTGTCTTCTCATAAAACTTTAAAATCTTACAGATTAACTGCAGTGTTTGTAGCTGAGCTCATGCTTTGTCCTTCAGCTAGTGTACTATGGCAAGTTTGTTGCCTCTCTGGTGGTCTTATTTTTATGAAATTCCACCAGTAACAAATTTGATTTAAACTGGCCAACTGTCTTGAAAGTCATTGTGGAGGAGGGCCAAGCAGATGCATGGTTAATCATATGTGTGGGAGAAGTAACAGGTTCATATAAACCTGATCTCACTGTAAGGAATCCAACCTTAAAAATAAAATTACCTCTTTCCTGAAAGATCATTTTTTATGTCATTATAGAAAATGTGCAAACTGATGCTCTTGGAGAACAGACAATGAGGACTTTAAGCCCTCTTTTCTGGTTTGTAACCACCATGCTGCCTCTGTCTTTCCTGAAGTAAGAATAGGAGTTCGTTAGGGAGTCTTTTCTGTGAGTCTTTTTCTGCAGTGTTATTTAAATCACTTAGCCTAAAAGAAAGGGCAGTTACTTTTTTTTGTAGGTGTTGTTCATTTAGATGCGAGGCACTCGTCTTTAACTGACTTTCTTACCTTCTCTGAAGTCTATATTCGTCTTGACTTCAGCACAGAGGAAGTGAGGGAGAGTTGTGGATTTCACACTTTACAAGCTTATGTGGTGCAGACACCATTAACTGCCTTAGGCAGTATCATAATAATTCCTTTAATTCTTGTGCAAGTATTGAAATTAAATAGACCTTTGTAGTCTCTGTACAGTCCTTTTAATCTTAATTTTGTATGTAAAATCACAGCAAAAGGGTGCATTAAATTTGTATGCTGTAATTAAAGTGATTTTTCTGAATTTTGAGATATGAAAATTCAATGAAGAGTTTTATGATGGAGAAGAACCTATTGAACCCACTCATCTTTGCTATATCTGGAGTAAAAACTTGTAAAAAAAAATCTTTGTCACTACCTAGACTTTTTTTGTGCGATCCGAATGTATTGGAAGATTACTCCTTTCTAGTATCTTTGATATACGAAAAGAAGTGGTGATTTCAGATGTAGAGCTTGGTGTGGCCATCTGTGTGAAACATACTTCCTTAATATTCCTGATTTTGCAGATGAATTAGTTTGGTAAACTTGAAGAAGTACAGATTAATATTGCTAATGACTTTTTTTTTTTTTGGTAATTGACATAGATTCCCTTTCTACTTGGTATGGCATTGCTGTAGTTGACATTCACCTATGTTTTCGTCACACTCTGAACTACTTTCTGGAACATTTTCACACATGTTGTTCACAGGCAAGGCAAGATTTAATGCTTTCTCTTGTCTGTTTTCTCCTCAGAAACAGTATTGAAAAATCCAATCACATAACTTTTTTTATAGAGTAAATCTTACTTGAGATCTTATCCAGGAAAAATCTATTGATACTTTTCCTGTGCATGTTCCTTTGGGCTGGCCAAAATTCATCAGTATTTTAAGAAAGCTCACCATGCTTCAGAGCCTGAGAACCTAACAAGTTTGTTACAGATAAAAATGAAATAGGAAGTGATTATGAAGGATCACTTACGGAAAGCTAAAAGTTAAAGAGAATAGGAAGGTGTTCTGAGGATGTGTCACTGGATGCTATTAAGAGTAGTGGCACAATATTAGCTATTCCTTTACTGTTCCCTGTTCACTTGTTTTTTCCCACTCTTGGAAGCAGGTAAAGACAAGGCTGGGTGGCTTGAACTTTCTTACAGGAACTTTTTGCTTGATTTTATTTCTTCTTGTAAATATATGCTAACTTGTGATTTATGCATATTTTTGTCTGAATGATCAAATGATAAAAGAAATATATGAGAGAAGATAGTTAATCAAGAAAACCAGTTTTTAAAGGAAGTGCACATTATTTTGTGACTGAGTTTGACTTATGCCAGAATATTTTGTCAGTCAGAACATGAAGAGCTTTGTTGTAGGTTACAGCAAGTATGGTAAGTCCTTTGTGAAGAATAGCGTCATCAATGAGCTATATACACTCCTTTTACTTATAATCTCTACAGTTTTTAGTTCAGCCACTCTGTATGTAGAGGCACTGAAATCAATACAAGGAGCATGGTCTTAGATACTTCTCACTCACAGCCAGTCTGTAAAGAAAAGGCCCCAGCTGATCTGTTATTTCTTTGAGTAATATATTGTCTTATTTTTTCCCTTTTTAGCCAGTTGCAACAAGAGTTTGTAGAAACAGAAAATTGAAAGTTTGAAGCATCTTCAATTCCGTCTATGCCTTCAGTGCCATGTTATACACTAGAATTTTTTTTCCTCTCTAGAAAAGGAATCTTGGATGAGTATAGCCAGATCACCAGTCTTGTTACAGAAGAGATTGTGAATGTCCATAAAGAGATCCAGACCTCGGTTGAACAGATAGACCCTAACTCTGAGTATAATGACTTCATAGATACTCACAGGTATGCATTTTCATCTTGGTGTGCAAGTTTGTTTTTTCTCTTGAGAAAACCCTGCACTAAACTCAACACTGCTTAAGTGATCAGAGTTGAATTTGTTTCCGTTTGGTTCTTTTTACATTGTTAAGTGTAAAGCTTTAATCCTAGTTTGAAAATTGTTTCACTTGCATGTACAGAAAGCTAGCTGAAAGCCAAGTTTTTCACCTGACTGTTTCTTTAACCATCCATCTCCAGTTACCGTTATTACATGTGAAGAGCTATAACTTTGGTGCTGAAAGGAGACTATACATGACAGTCCAGGTTTAGTGTGAGCTAATTTACTGTATATTTGGATGCAGTTTGCATTCTGGGCTAAACTAAGTTTCTCTGTTTTATTTCTCTTACTGCCCAAATTCTAGTTTAAATTGAACTCTAGCTACCTCTGTGTACTCTGCAGTTATTGCAGGTTGAGCAGTGCCTGATACTACAGAGTATGCAGATAATGCAAGAAAGTTTTTTACTTTAAAAATAAACTGTATTTGCCATTTATTGAACTGTTACTGTGTATATGCAGAAATAGTCCTATGACTGTTGTCTTAGGCTCACCTAAGAGTGAACCCATTCAGATTGATACTCCTTGAAAACCTTGGTTATGCTGTGATCTTGATTCAAAGAATTATATGCCATTTTATTACCTGGTATGATTTTAAAACTATGTTCTTTATTTAGAGGGAAAAGAATATATGTCCAGTTGCTGCCTTTTCTTTCGTATATAATTTTAGCTATATTCTAGTTATTAAAGTAATTCAAATGTAATTATTTGCTTTATGATCTACTCAAAGATACATGTTAACTTTGAAAGTATAACATTTATTTACTAAATTAGGTCATCAGAAGTTGTTGAACAAGAAATAGAGTTTGATACGTCTTTACTAGAAGAAAATGAAAATCTTCAAGCTAATGAGATCATGTGGAATAATCTAACAGCAGAAAGTTTACAAGTCATGTAAGTCTTTCTTTACAAACCTTTCCTCCTTTGGAAATGCTGTTATACATTAAATCTAGGTTCACTTGGATCATTGCATAGCTGTGTCATCATTTTTGAGGTCTAGTTTCTGAAAATAATATTTTCATGCTATGAACTCTTTTTTTTTTATGCTGGTTTTATTGTTCCTTTGCACCAAATACTCCCCCCCAGTCCCCCCCAAAAACTTGCCAGCACTTTACACAGATTAACAGATTAGTAGAGGTTGGAAGGGACCTCTGGAGATCATCTAGTCCAATCCCCCTGCTAGAGCAGGATCACCTAGAGCAGGTTGCACAGGATTTCATCCAGGCGGGTTTTGAATGTCTCCAGAGAAGAAGGCTCCACAACCTCTCTGGGCATCCTGTTCCAGTGCTCAGTGTTCTGAGCACTGGAACAACTTCCTGTATTCCAGTTTGTGCCTGTTGCCCCTTGTCCTGTCACTGGGCACCATTGAGAAGAGTCTAGCCCCTTCCTCTAGGCATCCACCTTTCAGATATTTCTAAGCTAAGATATTGCTAAGACCCCCTCTTCTCTTCTCCAGGCTAAACAGACTCAGCTCTCTCAGCCTTTCCTCATACGAGAGATGCTCCAGTCCCCTAATCATCCTTGTAGCCCTCCGCTGGACTCTCTCCAGTAGTTCTCTGTCTTTCTTGTACTGGGGAGCCCAGAACTGGACACAGTACTCCAGATGTGGCCTCACCAGGGCAGAGTAGAGGGGGAGGATCACCTCCCTCCACCTGCTGGCCATGCTCTTCTTGATGCACCCCAAGATACCACTGGCCTTCTTGGCCACGAGGGCAGACTGCTGGCTCATGGAGAGCTTGTTGTCCACCAGGACTCCCAGGTCCTTCTTCGCAGAGCTTCTTCCCAGCAGGTCAGCCCCTAACCCGTACTGGTGTCTGGGGTTGTTCTTCCCCAGGTGCATGACCTTACAACTTGCCCTTATTGAATTTCATATGGTTCCTCTCTGCCCAGTTCTCCAGCCTTTCCAGGTCTCAGTGAATGGCAGTGCAGCCTTCTGGTCTGTTGGCCACTCCTCCCAGTTTAGTTTTGTCAACAAATTTGCTGAGGGTACACTCCATGCCCTTGTCCAGGTCATTGATGAATATGTTGAACAAGACCGGACCCAGTACTGATCCCTGGGGCACACCACTAGCTACAGGCCTCCAACTGGACTCTGCGCTGCTTATGACAAAACCCTCTGAGCTCTGCAATTCGGCCAGTTCTCTACCCACCTCACTGTCCACTCATCTAACCCACGCTTCCTAAGCTTGCCAGTTCTTTACCAACCTCGCTGTCCACTCGTCTAACCCACGCTTCCTAAGCTTGCTAACAAGGATGTTATGAGAGATGGTGTCAAAAACCTTGCTGAAGTCTATATTCCTCTCCATGACAGTTACTTTATACAATGCCCCAAGTCCATCATGAATCCTCCTTGGGAACATACTGATTCATCTTCCCAAAAGTGTTTCCACATTTAGTACTCTAGGAAGAATATTGAAATCTTTTGATGAAACCACTGAGTACAGTTATGTAGTCAGTGATCTAAAATGCCGTGCAGAAAATTTTCATGAATGTATTTATTTCATTAGTTTTGTAAGTGTTTGCTATTGTTTTCCAAAGGAAAATCTTATTCATTATTATAACCTTTAAAATACATTAATAACTACCACAGATGTAGCTGTCGTATTGCATTTCATGGAGCTTTTAGCTATTCAGGGTGATAAACTACCTCTCTCTGTATTTTATTAATATATTGCCTATTTAAATCTTTTCATTACTTTTACCAACTTCACCTTTAATCATTTGTTACTGGGGAACAAATTCTGAGGTTATTATGTTCTTGTTCTTATCAGCCTTAGCTTTTGATGTAAAATGGTACAATGGAGTCACTTGTGAGATTGCAACTATTAATTGTACCTTTTTTTTTATATTGATCATAGCAATTTAAAATGGAAAATTCAGAATTGTATCGGTTGATGATGTTTTTGTTGTCTCTACTGTATTTCAGTCCTTGTGTGACTTATTTGACAGGTTTTTTCCTTTAGAAAGCATAACTGATCCAAAGAAGTTATCAATGGTGTGTTGTGGGGTTTTTTAAAGTTTTTTAAAAAATTTCATCTGCTTAATTAAGCTACGATCCTTCTTTCTTGTAGGTTTTTCTGAAAATCAAAATCATAGTGAGTCCTAATAGCAGTGAGGTATTTCAAATGTAAACACACTGCAGTGTCTTCTGCAGATTTTTCTAATCCCTGTGTTTTCTCAACATGACAGAATCTCTGGATTTTATTAATTCCTTTTCAAAGTCATTGAACATCTTCTCATTTTTCTTGTGCAATCTGATTACTTTTTGAAAATGTATTCCTTGATAGATATTGAAATAACCTTTTTAATATGAAGTTTCAGCATCCTTTGTCACTCCTCCTTAGTCCTGAAGCAGCTTCATCTTTCTTATGAAAGGATCTCTTGATAATTAAAGCCCCTGCCTTCCCTTTAAACATGTTTCTGTTTATAATATATTCTATATCATTACTAAATTGAGATTATTCCTGCTTAGACTATGTAAATGTTGTACATCTAGATGTACTTCAGCATAGTAACAGGAAAAAATACACACCGAATCTTGCTTTTCAATAAAATATTACAATTTTTGAAAGATTTTGCCTTCCATAGCTCAGAAAGAGAAATAACTTCTTGTTTAGCTTGCCTTCTGTATCCCATTGTTTAGAAACAAGACATCAGCATGTCTAAGAGATGAAATGCTGCTTTTCTAGTAAATGATTCTGATAAAATGCATATTTTTGTTCATAAATGTGTGTCTGCATATTTGCCTACACATCTACATTTTCAATACAATTTCCAGTGTGTCCTGTTACAAATCTTGCATTCATCCACTTCAAATTCTTTTATAAACTTGAGAAAGAAATTTTATGGTGTGATATTATTTTTGGGACAGGAATCAAATAGCTCTTCTAAGTGTTGCTGTCTTTAAGGTCTTCACTTTCTGTTATAGATTTAGGACTCTGAGCAAAAAAGTTTGACTGTATTAGGTTAGACCAAAGATTGACCTAACCAACTTAGTTCTCTCTTACATTAGCCAACAGGGAAAAGTGTAGGCAGGAGAACAAGAGCAGGATGATCATGCAATGCTGATTCCTCAGAATGATCTCTCAGCCTCCCGTAATTTTCAGCTGAGAAATGTTTTGAGACAGAAGTAGTATTTGTTTATAATAACCTTTCAGGTAGTTTATAATAGCCTTAGAGGTGTTTTTCTCTCATGAATTTGTCCAGTCAGTTCAGTATGTACAAGTATCTGTTGTCCACAGAATTTTTGGTCAAGAAATTCCAGTGCTTAACTTCATATTTTGTGAACCCACTACTTCTTAGTTTCATTTTATGGCTCTTAAGCTCTTGTTTTGAAAGAAAATAGGAACAATGCACTCCTTTCTGCTCATGATATTGTAAACGTCTGTCATAACCCTACTGTGTGATCTCTTTTTCAGACCCATCTTGAGCTTTAGTCTATCCTTTCACAAAATTTACTCATATCCTTTATCAAGCTTGTCATCTTTATTTGAATGTTTTCAAGGTTACTGTATTGTTTTTGAGATGAATGACCAGAATTGCACGGGTAATCCATATGCATAGTTTAGAGAGGGGCATACTGACGTTTCCTGTATTCTTGTTCTGCTTTGTTTTTAACAAATCCTAGAGAATCATTTTCTGACCAGTGCAATGTATCAAGCCAGTGTTTTCATGGAATCATCTACTGTAATTCCAAGATCTCATTCCTGAGTGGTAACAGTCAACTTAGAGCCATTCACTACATAAATAAAGCTTTGAATTGTTTTTCCCCCCTCTATGTTTGCCTATTTCAATTTGCATTGAAATTAATATTCTAAATGACAGTCCAGTTATTGAGTATCATAAGATCCAGAATAATCCTTTTGTATTCTTCACGTTCAACCCCTTCCACCTACCTCAAATAACATTGTACAGTCAGCATTCTTTGTCACTTTTTAAACTGTCCTTTTATTTGGATTATTTTGAACATATTAAGCAGTGCAGATTTTTGTGAAGCTCCACTAGCTCCTGGCACTGTAAAAACTGTTTATTCTTATCCTCTTTGTCCTTTTTTTTAATTGCTTTTTAGTGCAGCTGAGACTGCTTCCTTTTAGAACTGTTTACTTCTCTGTAACTGCCTTTGCTCATATACCTTGTTAACGGCATTTTAGATATATTTTGTTATGGTCTTGCTTTAAAACCACTATAGTCAAAAAAGCCCCACAGATGTTTGCATCAGCTTGCTGTGTATGACTAGAAATATTGCATCCTTTATCCATAGATGATGACTTGTAAAAAATCATTTCTGTATTGTTTCTGCTGAAACAATAGAAATTTGACTGTTGATCTTTACTATTGGGCTCATGGCCTTGGATCTTCAAAGTACTACATTATGTTTCTGCAGAGGAGAACTACCTTCAGTATCTACCAAATATAATAAATCCAGTACACTTGGTAGATTTATTTCACAGAATTTTTATAGATTCAAAGATGTATATTGATTCAGAACCAATAATTTTTGGTTCAGTCATTTATTTTATCGAGTATGTGAGGGAAGAGTGACAGCTTTACATACATTACTCTTTAAAAGTTTTCATAATGTATTTTAAGGAGATATGATGAGAAAACTGGCTTGTTTTTACATTTTTAGGTAAATTTATATTTGTGAATAAAGTTTTGACAGAAGGAGGTAGTTAAAAGTCAGTGTTAACTCACTAAGCTTTCTAAGTAATGCGAGGTATGATGTCTCCTGATAAATGTTGATTATTGTCATTGACTAATATTGAGATACTCTGAAAAGTGTAACAGAATAAAAGGTTATGCTTCAAAGACGCATGTGTTAAAAACAAAGAGGAAGCAACCAGAATGAAGTGTTGATAGTAGGCATATGAATTAATATCCAAATTGATTTGAAAAGTTTTCTGAAATACAAATTCTGTAAGCACAAGCATTTATTTTTACTGATATTTCAGGCAGAATGGTGCTAACGACTAAAGAAGTATGAAAGGTAGCTTTCCAGGTGGCCAGAACCTAGTTTGAAGATGTCAGGTTTCTGGATTTTTTTTTTGGTCTCATTTTATGTGTTCTTATGCCATTGAAGCCTGACAATTTGGGATTGTGTGGTTGTTAAAGCTAATAAGGATTGTAGTGACTAATTGGTTAATAATAAAACTCCTTTCGTTGAACTGATTTTATCCAGGAGGCAAATAAAAGGTGACAAGAAACTTCCTTTGGCAAACCACAACCAAGATGATACAAGGCAGATGCAGAGATGCCACTTCTAGCCAATTTGAATAAAAAATAATGTTTAAAACAAAAAATACAGGTTGAATACAAGGAAACAAGTTAGTTCAGTGTGTATGTCGTGGCTTTATTTTATTTTCGTTAACAAACATCCCAAAGTATCTCAGAAGGTTTAGGGAGAACTACCTCAACTTTCTATGTCAATATGATGCTGCAATATAAAATCTGATATTTTTGAAATGATAAAATATTTTAATATGTTGTTTCTGCATGTATACATTTATACCTTCCAGTGATAAGCAATCTTATTAACTTGGTTTTAATTTCTTGAATATCGGTGCTTGATCATTAGATGTAACATCTGCTTCCTGTACATCAATTGTTAAGCCAATATAGTGTTGATTAAAATTTTGATTAGAAACCTGATCAAAAAGCAAGTATCTGCAGTTACAAAATTGGTAATTACTTTTTTTAGCAAGGTATTAAAAGAGAAAAGTTAGTTGATATTAAAATGTGTAAGAAAATCGTCATTTCTGAGAAGTTCAGCGTACACATTGTGATAGCCTAAAAACAATAAAAATGTTTATTAAAAAGGGAGCTGTGGGGATATTACTTTGAGAGAAATGTTTTAAGTATTTCCCTTATCTCAAAATAAACACATGCAGATGCTTGTTCATTTGGGAAATAAACATTTATCATTCACTATATGGCTTTTTTAATAGTAATTTAAGTCTCCAAGATAAGATTCAGGACTGTCTGAATAAAGAATATATTTAATCAACATTGTATAAAACATAACAGGAGGAGAGAGAGCTAATTCAACGTTTAGAATCAAATATACAGTTTGGTATATATGGACATGGAACATGGTTCCTAGATATCTAGAGTCCATGTAAATTACTCTCAGTTGACCTTCCGTGTCATTCCCCAATCTGGAATGGTTTGGGGCAATAGAACTGTGCAGTGGTAAGTACTATATGTATTTTACCTTTGTTTCACTCTTTACTTCAATAACTGTTTTACTGAAATTGGGCTTGAAAATACAGGGGAAGTAGGGTAAGATAGTTAAAGATGGATAGATGAATGCTGAGAAGGAAATAGGGTGTACATATTTATTTATTCATTTATTTTTAAAAAAATTGTTCTCCTGGCTTAACAATTGCTTGAAGTCAACATATGTATTTTGATATGCATTTTAGAAGTCAACATTATGTGGCCCATTTATCTGCATTATTCAGAGTGCAAATGTTACTGTACATTTGTGACTTCTTAGTTATTGGAATGTTTGCCAGCATAATTGCGGTGTCAGTAATGGTTTTAATGTGCAATAACCCCTTCTCTGTTAGTATTGAGTGTTCTTTTACAAGTTTTACTTTTCCTTTGAATTAAACATTACCAAAGATTATGTGGCTTTAAAAAAAAGTTAATTGTAGAGAAAAATATACAGATTACTCATAACAAAAAGTGTCAATTTATATTTTTGTTATTTCTAGAGATGAATAGAGCTCGACTACTGATTCTGTGTATTTATTTAACATATACTTAATCTTTCATAAAGCATCTCGTAAATTAGAAGTATATTAGGAAGGCATTAATTCACAGAACTCAACACACATTCTGGGAAAAAAAATTTCGAGATAGGAGAGCCTGCAGGCAGCAGATCATTGTGTACCCTTGTATGTATACAGTGGCTAGTATGGGATCTGTAATACTACGGGTTAACATAATATTAAGGTGTATCCAGAAAAAAGGGTCATCAAGCACTGAGTAAGATAATTTCAAGAGTAATGCTCCTTTTCATCTTCAGGAAAAAAAAATATAGTGTTTCCAGATATATACAGTTTGTATATTCAAAACATGGATTTCTGAAATCTATGTCTTACAGGTTAAAAACAGTAATAGAAGAACTAATTCAGACACAGCAAACCCTTTCGAGCAAAGAGGAACTTGTGTTGGAACTGGAGAAAAAAATAGAAGAGTCTTCTAAGACTTGTGAAAAGAAATCTGAGTAAGTCAAAATGAAATTTCAAAATACAATAATTTGAGGGAAAAGTGTCTTGTGGTGGGTTGACCCTGGCTGGGGGC